CATTCCAAATACTTTTACCGAAGGAAGTCATCATCCTAATCTCTCCGTGATAGCCTTGAACCAGAATTTGTATTACAGTAAGGATCCCACACAACGAAAAAATTGTCATTATCTGCTTCTGTTCAACAACCCTATTGATAGACAAGCAGCAAGTGATGACTTTGGCGAGACAGATGTATCATGGGCAGACACAAACGTTTATGCAAAAGTATGAAGAAGCCATTGCCCAGCCTTATGGGCACCTCCTAGTCGACCTGAAACCATTTACTTCAAACGAGGAATGATTATGCCCAAATGCTCTGGCAATGAAACAAGCAGGAGGTACAAAGGGAAGCATCAAAGCGGATAATACTCATTCAGAGTTAGGCTTTCAGATTGTGAGGAAAACCTCCCAACAATGTCATCTTGTGATGTCTGTGGACTGATGTTTCAAGATGTGCATGATTTGCAAAAACACAGAAGAAACTGGTGTCCTGAAAGATGTAAGCGGAAATGTGAAGATGATGATGAAGAAATGATGCCACTTAAAAGACCAAGAACTAATGATGTGGAGAAGACCCCTGATCCGAAGTGGCAAAACTATGGACTGAATAAACTATGGGATTTGGAAGTAGCTGACGAGGATAATAGAAGTGATATGGTTACCAAGGAAACACAATACCAAGATGATGAGAAATCTCCAGAATGGATTGAACAGAAAATGAAGAAATACTGGGAAGATATCTACTTGACAAAACATGTAAGACAGGTGTCTACAGCGGTGTATTTTTCTAATAGTGTTCTCTTTTCACACATTATTGAACAGTTGAGAAAAGAAGAGCCCACTGACCTATTTTATAAGAACATTCTTAGAAAGATTCGGCAGCTATGGAGACCTATCCTGCCCGAAATTCTGTCACATGTGGATATGTCTCTCATTGAAGATGGTGATGACGATGATGATGATGAGTTGAGCTGAGCTGAGTTGAGTTGAGTTGGACTTTACGTCACATCAGCATTATTCCCGCTATATAGAGACGAGAACAAGTCTGCATTAATAAGCATTGTAAGTACAGAGTCAAAATGAGGTTTATTTCAAAAACATATATTCATCACATTGTCATTTATAAACAGAAAAAGTCATAGCACTAAATTTAAAAGCAGGCAATTTGTTAGTCACATTACACAGTTTCAAGAACAGATCTTTCAGGTTGTTTGCATCATAGTGTGAGTCCCTTGCAGACGATAAGTCCACACAGTCAAGTAGAATATGCTTGATGGTGAAAACTTCATCGCAAGAGACACACTTGGGGGTGTCCATCCCCATCTGTTTTCAGCAGATAGTCATGTGTAAACTGACTGTGGCTGTAATATTACCTCATCACGTCTTGACAGAGAACCCAAGTAGGTATAACCAATTGTTTGCTTCAAGTCATAAAGTTTATTTCTTCCTACTTGAGTGTCCCACCTTTTTTGCATGAGGTCCCGAGTATAACGTTTGATAGTGGGTTTGAAGTCACTGTACGGGATCAGCAGTGGATATAAGGGCTTGTCAAGAGCTGCTTTAGCTTCAGCATCGGCCTTTGTGTTACCTGCTATGCGGACGTGACCCGGCAACCAGCAGAGGATGATGTCATATTGGCCAGTAGAAATGTCGCTGTAAAGTTATAAAATGTCCAGAATGATTGGGTGACTTGAAGTAACAGTTTTAAGTGCTTGAAGACAAGATAATGAATCTGTGAAAACGATGAAGCTGTTTAATGTAGGTCAAAACTGAAAAGATAGCTTTGGCCCCGGCAGTGAAAATGGAACTGTTGTCGGGAATCCTAGTGGAGACAGTCTTGGATCCAATGACTGTAGCACTGGCAACTTGGCCCTCATCCTTGGATCAGTCTGTGAAAATGGATCTATGGGTATCATACTTAGAACGTAACTGGTTGTATTCCTGCTGGAACACCAAAGGATTTGTTTTGGATTTTTTTAGTTCAGTGAGGGTAAGATCGATCTGCCAGGATGGCGAAGACAGGAGTCGGTAAGGTGCTATGATATTGAGATCAATTTTAGCTGCACATATGCGTGGTTGAATTCTGATTCCAAGTGGTGGAACCAGGCTCGGCAGTTTAGGAAACAGGTTGATGATGAGGAAGAATAGGTTACTTGAACTCATTTGAACATGTACATTAGATGTGCAAACATGTCTTGGGAAGAGTATCTCAAGGGTATCTACTACGATTCTCCACGTCCTGCTAGCCTTTCTGGACCTGATAAGCTGTATAGACACGTGAGGAAAGTGGGGAACTTTGCCTTAAATCGATACAAGATCAGGAAATAGTTGCAAAGACAAGAACCCTACATCTGTACATCACTGTTCTACATATCATGACATTGTAATCCTGGGAACCAATATAAAAAAAAGAAGAAAAAAAAGAACCCTACAGCCTTCAATGACCTGTGAGAAGAACTTTTGCCCGGAATAGAATTATGGGTGACTGGCATTGATGACCAGTGGTCGGCTGATCTTATGGATATGGTCACGTTTTTTAAATACAATAACGGAGTTGCTTTTGTCTTGGTGGCATGGTGATTCACGTGTTCTCCAAATACCTTTTGCTGAGACCTTTGAAAGATATAAAAGGCCATACTGTAACCAAACCCTTACAGACATATTCAAGTAAGGGATACAACCTACAAGACTCAGAACGGATCGAGGACAAGAGTTTCGAGTTAAAGAAGTACAGACAATGTTGAAAGATAGAATAATAATAATAATAATAATAAATGCATATTTATAATGCGCCCCTTCCACACCCTAAGGCATGCTCAAAGCGCTACAGACTATTTACACTGGAGTATTTACAGATGAAGGTATACATAAAATATTGAGAAAGGGTGGGTTTTAAGTCTGGACTTAAAAGTGTCAATTGTGTCAGAGCTTTTAAGGGCACATTGAAGAGCGTTCCAAAGTACAGGTGCGGAGTAAGAGAATGATCGGTGTCCAAAGGATTTCAGTTTATAGGATGGGACGACCAGTCGATTTTGTGTGTTTGAGTGCAAGTTGCGTGCGGGGAAATACGGATGTAGGAGTTCAGACAAGTAGGAGGGAGCCAAACCATGGAGGCACTTGTATGTCAGAGGATCTTAAAGTCAATTCTGGCCCATACTGGTAGCCAATGCAGTTCTTTCAACACCGGTGTTATATGGGAACCTTTAGAAGAATGCTGATGATGGGGGCGGAAGTGTTTTGATCTTCTAAAGCTTATCAAGGAGTTTAGAACTGAGGCCTGAAAGGATGCTGCTACAGTAGTCAAGCCTAGATGTAACAAGCACTCGAACAAGGGCTTGGGTTGCAGCAGTTGTCAGGTATTGCCGAATGAAGCATCCAACATTTGTTGACCAGCAATGAAACCAAGCCGGCAGTGGCTGACCGAGTTTTAAACACCATTTAAACGAGACTGTATCGATATTTTACCTGTAAACAGTCTTACGAATATGCGGATAAACTACAGACTTTTACCGACAGTTATAATGAGACATATCATAGAACCATCGTTATGCCATCCTCTAGAGTGACTAATGTCAAGGAAACCACTATTTCGTGGCGTATGTACTTGCCCGAGAAAAGTGTTATGAAAAAGACTAATTCATTTCGTTATAAATTTGGAGATCGAGTGAGATTGAGTCATCTCTGGAACATCTTTAGCAGAGAATACGACAAGAAATGGACTGGGGAAATTTTCACCATTTCTCAGAGAATCTTTAGAGGTGGACAACCAGTGTATAGAGTCAAGGATTATAATGATTACGAAATCCAGGGCACCTTCTACCAATCTGAATTACAGAAAGTAGATGTCAGAGAAAACGATACCTGGAAGGTGGAAGAGGTTTTGAAAACCAGAGGAAAAGGCCATAACAAACAATATTTTGTGAAATGGTTTCACTGGCCTAAGAAGTTTAATTCATGGATTAAAGCTTCCGATGTAGAGAGAAGGTAAATGTCAATAAAACATAGATTGTAAGGGTGGCTTGGGGTGGCTCTCCGACCCATGTCCATTCTGCATGCACGGGGATATTAAATAATGCATATAGAACTTGCATATTGTCGTTGTTTATTTCCCTCTATCGATTTGTGATATTACACAGACGACATGGACTGGTTCAACATGGCAGCGGCCCATGCTATAAAGACGCTATCATGACCTAGTTTCACACATGCAAGGATGCGAAGGGGGGATACCCCTCGTGACGTCATTAGCGTGGGGGTAGCCTCTCGACTTCAGGGAGACTACTCGATCTCTATGGAAGATTACATGGTTACAGATGCGCCAGCATGCCCAGTTATACAACTACTTACAACACTCATAGTATAATTAGAGCATAAACGTTGGTCAGTATCAATGTCTATACCGGACCTTAATTTACAAATCTTTAACTTGTGTGACTGGAATCTAAATTTACACACTATTCGTAATATATTTTTTTCTGAATAAACAAATCTATGACATATCTGTCCGTGTCTAACAAAGATTTAAAGCTAGAATAAAACAAGAAATCACTTCTTCTCAATAGCCTACCATGCCAATCCTTGAATTGTATATCACTGCAACGTGTCGAAAAGGTGTGCATAAATATATCATAAGTGCCAACATCCACGGATATCCAAACGTAAGAAAAGCCCGTCGAAAGTAAAGATACAGTGTTAAGTGTGCAATAAACTATACCAGTGACAGGCTTTCTTCAAAATTTAAAATAAGTTAATTGGCAATTGAGGTTAGTGAGTTCATGGCTTGTAGGAATTATAACTGAGATCAAAGTTCGTAGCTTTGGAAAAAGTGATGATATACAACAAGGGCTTACCCTAGAAACACCTCAATGTACTCAGACCGTTCTTTGTCTCAAAATAACCTTTGACAGAGGTGACAATACACATATGGCATATTAAGTTCAGGTGATTACTGAGTATATATTCTACATGATAGCAGATTGTCAATTTTTTTATCATCATAACATACATGTTAACAGATATGAAGCAGAACTACCCTGAAATATGTCCACAACTAAAAGCAGACAAGAAGGAAACTCTTCATGATGCCTGTAGGAAAGGGGACCTGGGCCTAGTGAGAAGCATCCTGTCCCGAGGTTTGGTTGACGTCAACAGTAGAGATGATAAGTACAGGATGACACCACTCATGGTGGCAGCACACGAGGGACATAGACGATTATTTGCCTTTCTTGTAAGAACGGGAGCTAATGTATCACACGTAGATGAAAACGGGGACAATGTCCTGCACTTGGCCCGCAGAGGAGGACGTATGCGTTTTGTGAAGTATGTAGTCACACAATACAGTGTTGATATTAACAGTAAGGGAATGTACGGGTCAACTCCACTGCTGCAGGCTGTATATTGTGGTCACAGAGACCTGTTGAAGTTCCTCGTGACCAAGGGAGCTAATTTGTCACACGTGGATGATGACGGAGGGAATATCCTGCACTGGGCCTGCAGAGGGGGGCATGTGGGTGTTGTGAAGGAAATACTCACACAATACAATATTGATGTCAACAGTAGGGAGAATCACGGAGAGACCTCCCTGATGAAGGCTGCATCAAAAGGGCACCTAGGCGTTTTCCTGTTCCTCGTGAGCAAAGGGGCTAATGTGTCAAACGTTGATGAAAAGGGAGACAACATACTTCATCATGCTTCAATTGGAGGCCATGCAAAGATGGTTCAGCATATCTTATCACAAAACCTGGTGGACATTAACAGTAGAGGAAAATACGGGAGGACACCATTGATGAGAGCAGCATATTATGGACATAGAAAAGTGTTTGAACTTCTTGTGAGTAGAGGTGGTCTAACGCAGTTATTGGATGATGGCGGAGAAAACATCCTTCATCAGGCCGCTTTGGGTGGACAGGTCGAGATGGCGAAGCATATCCTATCCGCAGACATGGTGGACATTAACAGTAGAGGTAAGACGGGAGAAACCCCGCTGATGAGGGCCGCATTTATGGGATATAAAGTCGTTTTTCTGTTCCTCGTGAATATGGGGGCTAATGTGTCATACGTGGATGATGACGGCGACAACATACTTCATCATGCTTCAATTGGAGGCCATGCAAAGATGGTTCAGCATATCTTATCACAAAACCTGGTGGACATTAACAGTAGAGGAAAATACGGGAGGACACCATTGATGAGAGCAGCTTATTATGGACATAGAAAAGTGTTTGAACTTCTTGTGAGTAGAGGTGGTTTAACGCAGTTAGTGGATGATAACGGAGAAAACATCCTTCATCAGGCCGCTTTGGGTGGACAGGTCGAGATGGCGAAGCATATCCTATCCGAAGACATGGTGGACATTAACAGTAGAGGTAAGACGGGAGAAACCCCGCTGATGAGGGCCGCATTTATGGGATATAAAGTCGTTTTTCAGTTCCTCGGGAATATGGGGGCCAATGTGTCATACGTGGATGATGACGGCGACAACATACTTCATCATGCTGCAGATGGGGGCCATGCAAACATGGTTCGGCATATCCTATCACAAAACCTGGTGGACATTGACAGTAGAGGAAAATACGGGAGCACACCATTGTTTAGAGCAGCTTATTATGGACATAGAAAAGTGTTAGATCTGCTTGTGAGTAGAGGTTGTTTAACGCAGTTAGTGGATGATAACGGAGAAAACATCCTTCATCAGGCCGCTTTGGGTGGACAGGTCGAGATGGCGAAGCATATCCTATCCGAAGACATGGTGGACATTAACAGTAGAGGTAAGACGGGAGAAACCCCGCTGATGAGGGCCGCATTTATGGGATATAAAGTCGTTTTTCAGTTCCTCGGGAATATGGGGGCCAATGTGTCATACGTGGATGATGACGGCGACAACATACTTCATCATGCTGCAGATGGGGGCCATGCAAACATGGTTCGGCATATCCTATCACAAAACCTGGTGGACATTGACAGTAGAGGAAAATACGGGAGCACACCATTGTTTAGAGCAGCTTATTATGGACATAGAAAAGTGTTTGATCTGCTTGTGAGTAGAGGTTGTCTAACGCACTTAGTGGATGATCTGGGTAGGAACATTCTTCATGTGGCCTCTTCACGTGGAAACGTTATGATGGTGAAGCACATCCTCTCAATGAATATAGCGGACATTAACGCCAGGGACAAGGGTGGGAAAACGGCAGCCATGATAGCAAAATGTAACGGAAAACTTAGACTGTATAACTACTTGTTTCGCAAGGTTGTCAAGTAACATTAGTAGCTTGTGGGTTTATTTACCACATTATGATATGTTAGAAGTTACCAGTAGTAGAATTCCACATGCTTTCTTTGAGGCGTGTAACAGACATGGGTGAACTCGTGTTATTATATTCTTAGTCGTTATTTTGTATAGGAGTGAAGGCTATATAGGCTATAAAATGGTGTTAGATTAGCCTTGGTCATGGTTCTGGGTAAGGGTTAAGGGATGTATGTCATGCACCTGTTGACTTGGAGGTTATACAGATTGATGATCACTTGTTATTTTAGTCTAAGTCGGGTTTTATGTGCAAGGGGTGAAGTATATGACCAGCATCGATGATTACTTGTTTCTTTAGTCTTTGTTGTTGCTTTGTGCAATGAGTGGAGATATCCCGCAGTGTCTCATTTTGTGTGCGGACGTCTTCTGAAGAACACGACTGGTACTGCTAGTTTGTGTTAACATGGTTTGTGTAATATAAATGTGTGTTTATATTCAATAAAGCATTATGAAATATGCTAGATGTTTTTTACTGTGGAGAGAGAGAGAGAGAGAGAGAGAGAGAGAGAGAGAGAGAGAGAGAGAGAGAGAGAGAGAGAGAGAGAGAGAGAGAGAGAGAGAGAGAGAGAGAGAGAGAGAGGGAGAGGGAGGGGGAGAGAGAGAGAGTGAGAGAGATTTGGGTTTTGTTTTGTTTTGCATTGAACAATATCTCTCCTTTCCAAGATATTTTTATGGATTAAACTTCTTGTGAGTTGATATGTGTGATACACTAGTAGTTTTACTGTTCTTCGTCAAGAGGCTATTAATTTCTAATTTTATTGATCTATAATATAATTATTAATTGTTCTCGTAACGATATGGCTGAAATATTGCCGATGTGGCGATAAATATTAACTCACTCACTCAGCTGGACCCCATTGGACATTTAGCGGAATGTTGTTCCTGTCATAAATGTGACGGTAGGGTAACAAACAATCTACCGCCAGCGTTATCCGAGGTTCAAGAATATATGATAGGAATGTCATAACGTACGATGAAGGTTTTTCATGATGTGGATTTGGGCTGTTTGTTGTAGTGTTTATGTGATGTGTTTAGTGTTTTGTGATGCAGCGGTGTATGCGTGAGAGATGTGTTTAGTGTTTTGTGATGCAGCGGTGTATGCGTGAGAGATGTGTTTAGTGTTTTGTGATGCAGCGGTGTATGCGTGAGAGATGTGTTTAGTGTTTTGTGACGCAGCGGTGTATGCGTGAGAGATGTGTTTAGGGTTTTGTGATGCAGCGGTGTATGCTTGAGAGATGTATTTAGTGTGTTAGTTTGTGGGGTGTATTTGTGTGTTGCGTGTTCAGTGCATGCTGGGGTTTGCTGTGTGTGTGTGATGTGGTGGTGTGTGAGGATTTAGTGTGTTTATATTACTATTTAAATGGTTCCCAAACCAAAGTTCTTTTTGCAAACACAAAGTTTATCTGGAAATTGTTCATGTCTTCATGACGTATGACTGCATACGTATATCAAGAGGTGGTCTTGACTTGTTATTATACACATCCTTATAGGAAGAGATGAAAACACATTTAAAGTCTGGGTCAGATGGTTTTGAGAGAAGCTTAGAAATATGCTGAAGTGCGAGTGTAATTCACCTTAACTTGACACGGTGGTGGGATAGCCCATTGGTTAAAACGTTCGCTCGTCAAGCCAAAGATCCTGGTTCGATTCCCCACATGGATACAATGTGTGAAGCCCATTTCTGGTTTCCCACGTTGTGATATTGCTGGAATTTTGCAAAACACTAAACTCACCCACCTAGTCACATATAAACGCATATTCAACTGGTATGTCACATTTCAGCCGATGATCAACTTTTATTTCAGGAAGAACATATTCTAAAAATGTGAAAGCACTGTCATTTGACTTCCATTTGAAACAAATGGGAAATATTGTGGTATAATACACTTTATTTTTTTTTCATGATTTTCAGCTGCCTCTTTAAATTAGTGGAACGATAATCTACTCAGAGAGAGGAAAACTCATGTTTTATTTCTCGTCTACGCCTAACCAACATACAGTAAAGGATGGCACTTATTAGTATCCAGCCTGGCGTAGTAAGAGGATGAAACAAAGATTGGTTAGTTTGGGGTAACTATACAGGACACGATTTGGGGTAGAGATCTTCAGTCTCGTCCCAGTATAAAATCTACATTCATGGGTACTTTGACAAACAGTCATTCATGCACCCATACACCTATGTTATCATCAATCCGCAGCGACGTCATATTAGTGTATCTCAACTGAAAAACCCGTGCAAATCCGGCTTAGAAACAGTGATACATACACCCAAGGTTATCATCAATCCACAGCAACGTCTTATTACAGTATCTCAAGACTGAAAAATCAGTGCAGATCCGGGTTAGAATTGGTCTTCAACAACCGATGCTTGTCGTATGAGGCGACTGCCCGGATGGGGTGAGGCTCACTGACTTGGTTGACACAAGCCATGGTATGGCAGTTGCCTAGATCAACGGTCATGTCGTTGATCACTGGATTGACTGGTCCAGACTCAATTATTTACATACCGACACCATGTAGCTGGAATATTGCTGACTGCGGCGTCAAACAACAAACAAACAATCTCAAGATTGAATCTGTTTATTGCACTTAATATGAGTAATCAGATCCCTCCACACAACACATACAGCATACCAGGATAGGATAAAATCAGTTATATTCCTGCTTATTGCTTCGGCCTACACTTCAACCAGTGTGGACACGAAACTTCAGTGATAGATACCATGAGTATTCATCTATGACGTGGGGCGGTGGGGTAGCCTAGTGGATAAAGCATTCGCTCGTCACGCCGAAGACCCGGGTTCGATGCCCAGATGGGTTCAATGTGTGAAGCCCATTTCTGGTGTCCCCCGCCGTGATATTGCTTGAATATTGCTAAAAGCGGCGTAAAACCAACTCACTCACTCACCTATGAGGTCATCACGCCTTGCGACCAGTATTAGCTGCTGTGTTCCAGACTCGACTATTTGGAAGCCAGTGTCGTGTAATTTAGGCATTGCTGATTGACAATCTTTGCCATTGCTGAGATCAGCATATTTGATCAGTAAGATCTCGATAGTCCGGACACTATAAAAAAATGTCGCTAGGATGTTCGCATTCACGAATCACGAGTACAGAGTAATGGTCACATATACATGCGATCGTACATCTTGAACAAGATAGAATGGTGTCGGTTCCTGGACTTAAGAGATCTGGACTACCAAGGTGTCAGGATATCCCCAATCGCAAACTCAAAGGTTGTCCAGGCAGTAACAGTCGCCTGTTGACGATCAGACAAGTGACGAAGAGCTCAAATGTTCAGAGCTGTGTCCTTCATTGTTATATACTACTCACACTTTACTTACTTAAACGTAGATTTATAATTTGAAATTGTATCCATTCAAAACTAACTAAATAATGATATGGTAACCCCTCTTATGGCACTTTAATCTAACCTTATGCACTTGATATAATAAGCTTAGAATAACCTTAGATATTTAAACCAAATTTTACCCCACTTCATAATTTTTATGTTGAATCCATGATTTTAACCTTAGCAGTGTGTGAATAGTATACATTTAGAATGATGTTAAAAATAAGATCCACCGTAGTCAAATTACATTCAGTGAATCCAGATTCCTTGATATGATGACTACTGGTCATACACCTGGCGCCATCTTGCATTTAAATCTGCTATAATAGCGGATCCATCAACTAAAAGCCACAATAAATTGCTCAAAAGGTGCTCACCAGAAATTGCTAATTTGTCACCGGTTACGAGTGCAAGGAGGGTACCTTAGATCATTCATAAATATTCTCCTGTTGTCCTAAATACATGTCTATTCGTTCAACGCACAGACATGCTTTCCTCCATACTCCTTCCATACTTGAATTTTGAATGTACAATAAGTGCCTATTTCTGCATCCCTCATTCCAAAACGTCTACGACAAAATCCAGTTTGACAAGAATGTAGAACAGTATTTTGAGTCGGAAAACATTGCATGTATTAAAATTACATGTATTAAAATCCACATCCATTATTCTTGACCTTAAGGTCGTGTAATACGCCAATGGGTGTTCAGACAAGCGATTCACCATAAAGCATTCCTGCAAAAACAGAGTTGTAAAAGTGAATTATATGTTGGTGATTGTGGGCTCGGTTGGAATGTTGGTGTTAGATCCGAGAAGAAATAACAACTTCGTATTGAAGAATCGTGGCTATTTATCCACTGCTGCACAGTCCTCGAACTGAACCTTAGCAACTACTACTAATAATAATAATGGATATTTTTAGCGCGCCATTTTCCACCGACTGATACATGCTCAAGGCGCAACATAAAAGCATACATGATGACAGAAAGATTGATTTTAGGGATAGGCTTTGGAAAAAAGAAAGTCTTCAACTTAATTTTGAAAGTTTCCAATGTGCATGACTGCTTTATGTGGAGAGGGAGAGAATTCCACAGAGTAGGACCAGCGTACTGGAAAGACCTCTTGCCAAAAGAAGAAAGGAGAACTTTGGGGACGGAGAGAAGACATTGGTCTTGAGATCTGAGAGTTCTGGTAGGGGAGTACACAGTGAGAAGTTCAGAGAGATATGAAGGAGCTTGATTATGCAAACATTTATACACAATGGAAAGAAGTTTGAAGTCAATCCTGAACTTGATTGGAAGCCAGTGTAATGATGAGAGTACAGGGGTGATATGGTCTCGTTTAGTGGTAGGGGATATAATACGTGCTGCTGTATTTTGGACTTTTTGGAGTTTATTGAGATGTCCGTTGGTGAGTCCGTATAGAAGGCTATTACAGTAATCCAATCTGGATGTTACAAAGCATCTCACAAGAGTGTGGGCACTTTCCATTGTGATGTGCTTCCTAATCGTCCCAATGAGTCTGAGGTGGTAATAGCAGGTATGACACAACTTATCCACATGCGAATCTAGAGACAGGCACGAATCAATATAAGCACCAAGATCTTTTATCAAAGCTGACGGTGTGATGTTAGCTGAACCAATCTTCACATTGTCGATGTTAAATTTCTCCAAGCTCTTTGGTTTCCCAACAAGGAGAACCTCTGTTTTAGTGTCATTCAGTTTTAGTTTTCTGCCCGTCATCCATGTCTTGATTTCCAGAGTACAATTCTCAATCTCTTTCAACGCAGATTGGTCATTATTTGGTCTGAACTTTGTCAGGAGTTGGTTGTCATCTGCATAGGAAAAGTGTGGTATTAAAAATTTGTCACTGATCAGAGAGAGTTGGTTGATGTAAATCAGGAAGAGCACTGGGCCTAGAACAGATCCCTGTGGAACTCCACATGACAGAGTAATCTTCTGTGAGATGCTGCCCGACACTGTGACTGACTGGTGTCTAGCAGACAGGTATGAAGAGAACCAGGCCAGTGCTTGTCCGCCGATTCCAGAGTGATGTTCAAGAGTATGGAGAAGAATCTTGTGGTCTACAGTGTCAAATGCCGCACTCAGATCTAAAAGTGTCAGAATTGCCACGTCACCTCTATCAACCAGGCATCTTAGGTCATTTACCACTCTTAGAAGGAGAGTTTCGGTAGAGTGGTGTGGGCGGTAAGCTGATTGGTACTCGTCTAAGATGCTGTTGCTTGACAAGTGATCCATCAACCTCTTGGTAGCTGCTCTCTCGATCAGTTTGGAGAGAAAAGTCAGATTAGAAACAGGGCGGTAGTTGTTAAAGTCATTTTTGTCAAGTTTTGCATTTTTAACTAGTGGCATGATAACAGCATCTTTTAGCATATGTGGAAAGATCCCAGATGACAGACTCTTGTTGATGATTTCCGTTAATGTCGGCAGAAGCAGATTTAGGTGCTCAATCAGAAGAGAAGTTGGTATAGAATCGTTGAGACAGGTAGTCTTGTTGGACGACATGACGAGAGATCTTACTTCCTGCTGAGTAAAGGCTTGGAACTGGAGGAGATTGGTTCCCTGGAAATCGGAGTATGGTAAAAGAATGTCCCCTTCAGTAAAATTCTGAAGCAACTTCCTGATGTCTTCGATCTTGTTCTTGAAAAATGAGTTAAAGAGATGAGCCAACTCAGATGGATTCTTTCCTTGAGGAAGTACAACAGTCTCCTTTTTGACCATTAGCGAGCCCAGGAACTTGTGCAAGGTTTTGGTTTGCATGTAGAATCTAAAATCTGTTGTTTGCAATAAAGACGTTTGGATTCCCGAATAACTTTACAGACCATATTCCTCGCAGCTTTATAAATTTGACGATCTACTTCTAAACGAGATTTCCGCCATTTTCGCTCAGCACGTCTTCGTACACACTTGGTGTGATGAACAGAGTCGTTGTACCAAGGACAATCGGAACGCTGAATGAAAGTTCTTTCCTTAAAAGGAGCATGTTTGTCGAGTAAATCCCGAAGAACAGTGTTATACTGATGAGTCAAGCTTTCAACATTTGACTCAGGGTGTGCTATGAGGTCAGATATTAACAGGTCACCACAGAATTCGATCTTATCTATCTTTTTGAGATTGCGACAAGTCTTCGTGATCTTATTGTTCCCAGGTCTCTGCACATTGAGTGACATCTTGATCATTGAGTGATCTGACACCAGTTTATCTTCAACGCTGACACTATTGATCAATGCATCTTCATCCTCTGACGTCACCACCCAGTCAGGAATATGGCCTTATTTGTGAGTAGGGGTCGTAACATGTTGTTTCAAAGAATGAGTCTTCAGCAGAGAAAGTACTTTCCTTACGTCAGACGTAGTTACATTGTCAAAATGAATGTTGAAGTCACCAATAAACAAGGTGTGCCTCCGTGGATATGCTGCAAAAAGCCGAGAAAGGTCTTCGTGAAAGTCCAAATGTGAGAGTTTGTTTTTAGATACCTAACGGTGCACACATCATAACAATACGTAATAGTCGTTGTTTCATCACAAATAGAACACAGTTATCTTTCCTCAGCATTCGTTAGTTACTATGGACACCGCCATGTTGGATATAAATCTCGCCTACGAGATTTCGTGAGACTACCAATATAATACTTCCTAAACTACAACCTAACATTGGTACAATGTAATGAAAGGTGTAATGGTGCATTGTGTTTCAAATATGGCAGGACACGGAGAGTTTGTGGTGGGGTTGAGCGATTTGGCAATATTCCAACACTTTCGAAACAGAATACTCCTGAAATGGGATTCACTCATTGTGTCCTTGAGGGGATTTGAGGTCTTTGAATGGGGAGAGATGAGATAGGTTGGAGTGGCGGTGGATTGGATGATGTTAGCCGGAGAGACTTTGGGTTTCTGAGGTCGCTGCTACGCCTGTCAGTCTCATATACAGTACAAGACTTGGGTGTTTGCTGCGCAACGATGGTTTTGTGAAACTGGAAGAAGTAACGAGAAAATACTAATCTAATGTCTAATCTGTCAACGGCATAAGAAACTATGTTGAAACATCGCCTTTTACAGAATAAAGCAGTTATATATCCCTAAAATTAGCATCATTCTTCAACGTAAAGTTGGGCGGTGGGGTAGCCTAGTGGTTAAAGCGTTCCCTCGTTACGCCGAAGACCCGGGTCCGATTCCCATATGGGTGAAATGTGTGAACCCATTTCTGGTGTCCCCCGCCGTGGTATTGCTGGAATATGCTAATTAAAGCGGCGCAAAACTCACTCACTCAACGAAAACTTAATCGAAGTAACAAAAACATAATTGAAGTCACGACAAAATAATCGTAGGAACGAGTGAATATTCGAGATTTCAAGGTTTTGAAAGAAACTTGAGGCAACAAGAAAATATTCGACGCAACGAAAATATAAATGAAATAATGAGACAATACTCGAAGCAACGTTAATTGTTGCCTGAAAAAATAGTATATGCTACAAAAATGGCAGCATTAGGCTTTCGTAGATGTTAGCTCTTGACTAGTCTGCCCAGTGTATGTTTTCAGTTTGGGGCTAACGAATACCTTAGCGTTAGTGTTACTTTGTGGGACTGAAGCGTATTGTTGACAGAATGGGGAGTCACGAATAATATTATACTATATCTTGTCTCACACATAAAAGTCGTTTTCTGATTGCCCGATGAGTTGCTGGTGATCTATAGCCCATTTTTACACTGTATTGTCCAAAAATAGTTTTCTACTTTTAAAGATATATGCTAGCTAGTTTTACCTCATTTTGTGATAATCTAGTGGTTTTACTGTCCTTCGTTGACAGGGTTTCATATATTATATGTATGTATTATGAATTTAGAACTAGTTTTAGTCACGATATGGCTGAAATATTGCCGATGTGACTTTAAATCTTAACTCACTAACTCATTCATTCTAAATCTGATTGCCTGAGCCAATGAATGTACCCCAGTTACAAGCGAGTAACATGTTATCCACTGGAAATGCCGAACTGTGGGTATTCCTTTGGAACTTCATGTTAGCAGTGTTTGCCTAACTCCGGTACTTCTCATTATAGTCCAATACCCGTCCTTCAAACAGTTCAAAATTAACATTGATGTTTTCGGTAAGATAAGTACCAGTGGCCAACTAATAATGTCTTTCTGTCACGTACCTGCAATACTCGCTGTCATGCAGCACGCCAGCTGTCCGGATACGTTAGTATCTGCGATGTAGGTGAGAACACTCCCCGTGCCACCCCAATCGCCGCCAAATGGTTCTAATCACAGAATGCGTACCTCCCATCACTTCAGATCGTTTCTGGGAACGAGAGTGTCGACAATGATCAACAAGACTATATGTTTCATCCTTGTCCCTTTGGGTCGGTGAATGAGCCTGTTTGTTTAACGCCTCAGCAATCAATATATGAGTTATATCACGGTGTGCTATAGTAGACAGTAGCAAGATATTAGAGGTTTGCCGCTTTGATTAAACCCACGATCGAAATGGCAAACCAAGGATCAAATTCAAGGCGAATTCAGGATTTGAATCTACGATCATATGATTGCTAAAGTATTACTGATCTACATGGGTGCGTGAGTGAGCCCATTTGGTTCATGCCTCTACCAATTGACCATGTTTGGAAGATGATACATCGCAGAATAAATACACCAGAGATGATCCCCCAGTAAACTCTTTTGATACGCTGGAGAAAGTATTGCATCAGTAATTGAATGCAATACCTCAACGTCAAATTCAACAATTCTGAAACTGTCAGTTACATGATTTCCTGAGAACACAAGAATGTTGAAAATGACAGTATTTGTTAACGTCAACCCACCACCGTTATCAACACTATACAATGGGTCAACTGGTTGCTGTGTTTGCATCTCTGTTTTGCAACAGTTTTCCGTTCTATTTGCGTTTGAAATTGACCTTTAGTTGCATGTGGGGCAGTTTATGCAGATTGCAAGTTAAAGTGAGTTAATTGTAACATTTTACCACTTTGGTGAAACACACGAGGCCGAGTGTAGAACTAACAAGCCCGGACTCATCAGGATTCAAGTCGACAATTGTATAACTGCCAACGTACGATTGAAAGCACCACCGGTATCTACAGGTTCTTATAGAATGATGAACCATGAAGAAATGAAAGATTTAAACATATATCACAAGAGTATCAGAGTAGATGGGAGCGTGGCAGAATCGAATGAACTATGCTAGTTACACTCACACACTCAATGAATCATTCACTCGCTCTCCTCCTGAGAGGGTACGTAAGTTCCAAAATTTTCAAAGTCAATTTCAACTTACCAGGATTTTTAAAAGTAGTATTCTTGTTATTTTAATTTTGGCTAACATGTATTACAATCGCCAGCAGCTAAAAGGATGGTGTAAATCCCACTAGGGTCCATGCAGGTAGCAAAGGTACTGTAAGTCCCCATATGCATGGGCCCTAGTATGGTGATCTACCTTCAGTTGTTAGCGATCTATAGCCTATTTTTATATTGTGTTGTCCTCTATAGTTAAAATGTTTTAAATTTAATTACTAGTTTTACATTTGTATCTGTGATATTCTAGTTGTTTTACTGTCCTTCGTAGACAGGATTTTATACTCTATCTTTAATTATTGTTAATCTATATGTTGTTTTAGTCACAATATGGTTGAAATATTGCCAAAGTGACTTGAAATTTTAACTCACTCACTCTCTCATTCACTCACTGACTCACTCACCCTCGGCATGCCCACAGGAAGCGTCCTGTTGGTGAGGTCCAACACAATGTCTCGGTTCTCCCAGTGCCAAGTCCCGTACTTGAGGCAACGTACGGTTCCAACGTCTCGCGATTCTTAATCAGCTTCCGAAAAAGCTGATAACCGTAAAGTGAGTTTGCAAATGTTTTAATGCCAAAGAACTCGCCAATTTTCAAGAAATCAGAGCTCGAAAAGCCCATAATGTAATAATAACAATAATAAGTCATCTTCAATAGCGCACAGTCTCCAAACACCAAGTGTTTGCTCGCGATGCTTAATCAGAATCTGATTCATATTATCCCGGATAACCCAAATTGCCTGTTAGGCGCTAGAAGGTTATAGTCACATGACTATCTAACCGGGTACCCATTTTTTGAACAAACGCACTTGCCTAAGGTAAGACCACATGTATCACGTGTGCTTCGTTGTGGGTCAGGACTGAAGTCGCCACCATGTGAAAGACCCTCGCCACCATGTGAAAGAGAACAAAGTGGGTACTTCTAAACACGTGTCGGCTATATCAAGGCTACCGATGTATATACAAAGTCTACATATTCCCGTGATCATGCAGCTGATAAATACAGAGTGTGTTTTGTAAATATTAAATAGTGTCTCTAAATAACCTAGACCAAGCAATCCAGTAATTGATACGATTCGCAACATCCAACGCGACCAGGGTATCTGACAGGCAGTCGATGGAACCTGACAGACGAGTTCCGTCGTTCAATAACATCCATTTCTAGGAAGCTGTTCCGACCCTATTCACCACGGGGAGACCAACTGAGGACAGTTTTAACATCCTCCATACGCATGTACATGTTGAATCGGCATAGCAGTCAAATATAAGTAATCTATAAATATAACCATTTGCACAGGCTATATTGTTTTGTGTGGTTTTTTTTATGAAGATCCCTGGGTTCTGTGAATATACGACCCATTCAAAACACATGGCAATGGATATCAATAACAAATATACGTAGTATTAATTCCAGCCATACCCACTCTGTCCCTGAACCAAAGTAGCGTGGATTCAAAGAAGTCGATGAAGGCGATAAATATCATCTGGGTGACAATCACACTTGTGACGATCGGTATAGCGTCTTTAGCACCCTCTCACGCGGCTTCCAGAAGGTTGTTGAACTTACTGTGGAGCAGAATGTTATCGGTTGTGCAACAATGTTTCACCTGCTATACATTGTGCCTATAGAGGCAGTGAGGGGCAGAGACTTGCTGCATTTAGCCCTGTTTTATAACGTTTTAGGCATATCCAGTGACGATCAAAGCAGTGTAGAATGATATGGACATTTCCAGCAACTTATGTTGTGTAAGGAAGGGAAGCTAGTTATTGCCTCTTATCTCGCATTTATTCAATAATTACGGATTGCCATCAACATTATCAATGAATATCAGTTTTGTATACATATATGAAGGACGTTGTTTGTGACTGACGGGACCGGGATGCTGTAGGCGTCATGTGGCTGGATCCTGGTCGGCTGTGTTTCTGATGCAATCAGCTTTGTACATGGCTGGGGCTGCAGAGGCGGACATGACGCTGGCTGCTAGCAGATGATTGGCTGGTGCATAGTAATAACAGGAAGACAATCGGCAATATCTCCCGGAATGGTAAAATTCTCTTCAGGAATATGTCAACTGGTTATGACAAATGTTATATTGTTCTTCACACATGTGCATACATATGTAAACTACTCATATACAAGTATGCTTGTATCAAGAACAGACTGACAGAACACGGTGCTTCCACGGTTTGCAGTACTGCGGGAAGTTCCACCACGCGTAGATGTAGAATGAGTGAGTTTAGTTTCACGCCGCACTCAGCAATATTCCACCTATATGGCGGCGGTCTGTAAATAATTGAGTCTGGTCCAGACAATCCAGTGATCAACTACATGAGCATCGATCTGCGCAATTGGGAACCGATGGCATGTGTCAACAAAGTCAGCGATCCTGACCACCCGATCCCGTTAGTCGCCCCTTACGACAGGCATGGGCTATTGAAGAACAATATTCTACCCGGACTTTCACGGGTAAGTAGATATAGAAGACTGTCCATTCTACTCTTTTGACAAGAGGACAGTTTCATAAAATGAGGTATGTATATTCACATTATTGTTCTTAAAACCTCAGTTGTATAGTCAAACTGATACATCGTCACTTAAGAATTTCAGTCAAGTTCTATTTCTTGCCTTTCGAACGTTCATTCTTTGTTTGTAGCAGTACGTATTCCTATGATGTTTCTCAACATATGTGTGATAGATATAACTTGTGACATAAAACCTTTGAGAGGATTACAAGTATACATTTACTCCTACTGTTAGAATGAGTGTTTTTGTTTACTACATGAGCATTAATGTTCACAAGATCAAAATCAATAGTACAAGCAAATGAGAAAACCTGTTTTTTTATGTTTGCTAGAGTGGGAAATTAACAAATGCACATTCATATTGAAACTATGTTACAGTATGTCTGTGTTTGCAGATAATATAATGTAGAGTCATGGTAATATCAGGTAAATTGCAAACAAATGTCGACTATTAACTTAACAATGATATTACCATTTATTAAATGGCCAAAATGTAGACATGTTTTCAACTACAGGAATTTCCCCTGTTTCCTCTGCCCCGTTTCCAATCTGCCGACACAGATTTGGTCACGTAGACACTCTTGCTTATCTGCGAAGTAAAGGAAATCAGGGGATAATATTACATTCCAGTAGTTGACTCCAGTTGGTTATTTTGTTGCGTAAACAGTACGTCACTCCCTATGATTCTTCTCAACAAATGTCAGCCCTCTGATAAGGAAATATAGTATGCGACTTTTAAACACGAAACACATAGAGAAATATATTTACATAAAGTTTTTCCTGCCATTAAAAGGCAACTAATCATTTATAACTTGGGTCCAACTGTACAGAAATACACAATATTCAGTCCCGTAAAACTATTGCGGGTAACAACTTTCTTCTGGAAATGACACCTGTATTTTGTTAAAGTATCATACAGTATATCCAGATGAAATCAGTTGCACAAATTGATAAATTGCTTTTATTTGGTTGATCATCAATCCCTATTGTATATGAGTCGCACTCGAACAACTCAACTCTTCATCATATACAGAGGGCAGTGGTTTTGTCCTCGTTCCTCAAGACTATCCTTTTCACGGAACCAGTGAAGCAGGAATCTCTCTTTGCCTGGGTTCAATATGTTCTAGTCATTCAAATCCGGTTTTAGTATGGTCATTACAGCCGCCCATCACAAGGGATAAATATTTCAATGTCAAACAGTGAAGGGTCTTTTAATGTTAACTATCATATATTCATTGAATTTTTAAAAAGAAATAACATTACTAGATAAATGTTGATACATGGTTTGTAAATAGATAAATATTCTATTATTGGTAGTTTAGATTAGTAACTGAGATTGTAAGTGGCTGTACCCTCCAAGATGGTTGAAGTAATGTAACATTATTGTCCTCCTGAGAGGGTACGTAAGTCCCAAAACTTTCAATGTTAAATTTGAGCTTACCAAATCTTAAAAACGTAGTATATTTGTTCTTTAAAATTTGGCTAAATTTTCCTACAATCGCCAGCGGCTGAGGGGATGGTGTAAATCCAACTAGGGTCCATGCAGGTAGCAAAGGCACTGTAAGTCCCCATGGTCCCTAGTATGGTGATCAACCTTCAGTTGTTGGCGATCTATAGCCCGAGTTTTATATTGTATTGTCTTCTTGGATTTTACATGCTAGTTTTAAAATAAGAGCTGTGATACGCTAGTATTTTACTGTCCTTCGATGACAGGTTTTTACGTTCTAGATGGGTATTTTTTAAATTGACATATATGAAATTGTTCCTCGTCACGATATGGCTGGAATATTGCCGATGTGACGCAAAATTTGAACTCACTCACTCACTCATAACAGCGGCCATATTGACAAAACCAATTCACGAAAATCATTTTGTCAGTGAACCTGACCACCTTATCCGGTATGTTGACTCTTACGACAAGTATTGGTTGCTGGAGACCTGTTTTAACCCGGATTGTCATGTGTGCATATAACTACATCTGCTTCTTGAAATGAAAACAGTGGCAGATGAAATGACTGCATTTATTCAGCGAAAGAACATGTATTTGGGCATTGTCAAATCGACGCTGTATTTGATCATAAATTGTGCTCTCTATTTTGACACACTTATGTGTAATGATTGAGGTTTTGATTCGTGTTACTTCATTGTGGAATTTCCTTGATCCACGGAAATATACTTCCATTTCGTCTATGCCATGTTGGCTAACTGGCCCGAAGTACAGCAGCTGAAATAATTTAGAAATACTCGTCAATAGTGCACAGAAAAACGTAAATATGACAATAGCAATCATCTACAAATACAGACACGTATGGTAACACACACGTATCTCCAAATGTACCTTACAAAACGATGACCGAATATGAATTATATATTTAAACATCGGAAGCAAAACACTGGACAATATCTTTCTTTGAAAAGTTTAGACCACGGAACAACATTTACAAGTTTAAACAGCAATTCCTGAAAACATTTCTGAGACGTTTCCGAAACAATGCAAATTAACATTTTGCAAAACAATTTTTAAATGAGTGTTACGGAGTAAACTTTGGTACAACGCTTCTGGAATCATACAAATTTGAGCGTATGAAAATTTCTTAAAAACATTTTCAAAACATTTCGCGAAATATTTGTGCGATGGTTTATAGAACTTTATAACATAGTTTATAACATTCAAGGCCCCAGTAATGCTAACGAAAAGCTGCATGATAAACCTGTCGTGGAAATTTCCAAATGTGCCGCATCCCTTGTAAACATGTACAATTTCCCATTGTAAATTTACAATGTGTTCATATGTTTTCTTTTTCTGGTGAAATTGCAATTGCATGTACTTACTTGTGTCAAGTGCTAGTAATGGTGTATTTCGCAAACTCCTGGTTTCACCACCATTTGATTAGAGGCACATTTCCTCCTCGAATGAATGTTACAATCGATGTGTCTTTGAATATGGAAACTGTTCTAGATTTCTTTACATATCAATATTCTAAATTGTTCCTGTTTGTTATAAAAGAAATCCTATTCTGTTAAAGTCCATGAAGTAATGCAAGTAAAATGGGTCTGTTAAGTTATCTCATTTCTCAAAAAATGTCATAATTTAAATTATTTTGTGTTAGTGTTTTGAGAATGTTGTGTTAAATCACACGAATAAACCGTAATTCATGATCACGAAAAATGTCTGACACAAAAACTCCAGTGTTTTTATATTATGTTAACATCAGTTTATGAATGACTATGCAGTCCGTCGAGATCGAGAAACGGCACAAACAGTCCTGTCCTATCGGTGACACCCATCACAAACACGTGCAAAGGCAAGTCAACGTTTATGGTGTACTGCATGAAAATTAAAGCTGCTTACCTCAACTGGGTATACGGCGAGGAGTTTTGAAACATGCCTGTCTCTGGCCGGATTTTGCCAAGGGCTACATCTTTCCTCGAACGTCCACTTCAGCATTTCATCGTACTCAAGAGTTGACGAATCTAAAAGGAACAGCAAGATTGCTCTTTCATGACGTAAGCTATTGTCAAGTCCACTACAGTTCGCAGTAACTTAATAATTCGTAAGCGGGGAACTGTGACAGACAATACAACTGGAACAACACATGAATCAGTGGTCACACAAATTGCCAGTTATCAAGTGCTATATTTCTTAGACCAAATTCATGTTGTTGTTTTTCTATTGTTTTTTTTTAATTAGGGCTTGCGACAATAAAGCGCAGTGTCTTTGAAATTTAAACTAAAACAACTGTGCATTTATTATGAGAAAAGATCATATCCATCAACCGGGGATACCACTCTTATCGTTACTTTCCCTCTGTCAGTATGAATATGAGCATGGATTGATACGTGTATATGAATTGTTCTATGCGTTGATGCAGATGCAGATGTCTCCTATCAAAATGTTCAGCACGTGTTTGTAAAGTGGTAAACGACAATACCAATACTATCGCTCAAATGCATTTCAGCATGTAATGCAATCACTTGTAATTCCAGCCATCATTCTGTCAAGCATATTGAAAGTCCATATAATATTACACGATTTCATCGGTAAAGGAGGAATATATATTGCATCCTAATAATCGATAGCTGTATCTATATACGTGTAAACCTTTTCATCCAGAAACCAAAATGTTTCAGATTGTTAACATTTTTTATATGTTTTCTTATTTGTTTTATGACGGACGACATGTGTTTGCTCCGGTAAAATCTGAGTGAGGAGTTGCCTAAATTATGCCTAAATTACACATATATGTCCCAGATAAAGGATCACGTGAATGATGATGTACATGGAAGGCGTGGAACCACGAGACATTGAAATCTGCGAGTGAGAGACATATACGTGCTTGGTGCGCAATATGCAATGTCGTTGTTTAGTTTGCAACACACATCGCCTACATGGTAGAAAACAGTCTATTATTGTGCAAAGACACTTCAGTTTTGCTGTACTCAGTTTACAGTGACACAATTCATTTATTAAGAGTGAGTGAGTTAAAATATAACGTGATGTCGGCAATATTTCAGCCACATTGTGACGAGAATATGAAGATAAATACTGAATGCAGTTTCAATAAGAAGTTTGTCATCGATGCACATCATAAAAGTTATATAATCTGGTTAACGCAGTTAAAACAGTAAATTAATACCCAACAACACAATATAAAAATGAGCTTTATATATACAAAACGTCCCGTTGTGGCGGTGATAGCCAAGCTCACAATATGTTTTATCAATGAGCAAGTAAATTAATATTTATTGGCACATCTGCATGTATATCTTGACTGACTAAAAATCGAATACATGGATCAAAATTAAATTATATTGTAACAACTGTCGACAAAGTGCAGTAAAACACTGAGATTATCATATATAGATATTTCAAATTAGCATGTAAGTTATAAAATTATGCCACAGTGCAAGACAATACAATATAAAAAAATGGCTTCCAGATCACCAGCAACTAAAGATAGATAACCGTACAGTACTTTTTGTACCTGCATGGGTCCTTAAGTACTGTCGGAAGTAGAAAAAACCCTAGTTAAAATGTGGAAGTGTGAGTACTGTAAGTCGCCATGGTCCCTAGCATGGTGATCTACCTTCAGTTGCTGGTGATCTCTAGCCCGTTTTTTATTGTATTGTCTGTACTATTTGTCTAATTTTAAAAGATACTTGCTAGTTTTAATTCTCTAACTGTGAAAATCTAGTTATGTTACTGTCCATCGTCGATGGGTTTTTATAATTCAATTGCGTTTTATTGTTAATTTATAACTTTTAAGTCACAATATGGCTGAAATAGATCAGCTGTGACTATAAATTTTAACTCATGCACTCACTCACTGTGAAAGTGTGAGGAAATATCTAGGTTCGGCCTAACCACAGTCACAGTGGTAGGGAGATAAGAAACGTGAAAAAGACTTTACTGATCCGAGATTAGTGCAGAAATGTGCAATGCGCTATTTTTCTAAGTCTAAAGCGACTATTTAGAACAGATCATCTTTTTATTCAAATTAGTGTGCGATGACATTGTATTTCAAAGGACACTTTTTTTATTAGGACCATTTTGAAAATAGACTTAGCTTCATTATAAACGATAGCTGACGTAAAGAAAAATATATTTAATATTGAAATTAGTAAGGATGTAGTTACAATGAAGCCTCACTAGTTGGTAAAGTGTTTCGCTCGTCACGCTGAAGACCCGGGTTCGATTCCCCACATGGGTACAATGTGTGAAGCCCATTTCTGATGTCCTCTGCCGTGATATTGCTGGAATATTGCTAAAAGCGGCGTAAAACCAAAACTCAATCAATCAATCAATATATATTTTGAGACATTTAATATGATGGTTGATTTAAGATTTTCTATGGGCATCATAGGCATTTTTACATATCTCAACATAAACCTTATGAAAGAAAGACACGTAAGATGTTAATCAATAGATGAGACATACTCAACACACATGAAAAAGCGTAAAATATATTTAGGAGACGACCCTTGTCCCTTAAGGCAGCACGTGCATTTCATACCAGGTTAATCGACGGTCCGTCGTCATAAATGGCTGAGCGACCTAATTGCCATCTATAGTCTGATCTATTGTTTTAGCAGCCATTCGTATTTTTTTTTTTCTAAGTTTTGCCCGATTTTAAGAGTAAACATGTTTTTGTTCTGGATATCCTATTACGCATCCCACTGATGTCGGTTATTTCGACATATGCTATTTGCAGTTGTGTGTAAATTTTAGGGATACAGAGTAACAGCCTATTTTTTTTTCTATTTCTGACAGTACTTTAGCTGGATTTATAACGTCCCTGCAGCCGCTTAAAGGGTAAACCATCACTTTAAAATGACAAATATTGGTAGTTCAAAATTCCTCCAGTACTTTCAACAAGAAAGCATGCCATTTCATACTAATCATACTATTTGTCAATGATATTCGTAATACCTATATACCTTCAGTTGTTGGCAATCTATAGCCTGTTTTTATCTTGTATTGTCCAAATAGTGCTATTAGTTTTAACTTTCCACACTAGTTTTTATTCTGATTGTGGTATTCCAGTTGTTTTGCTGTCCTAATGTCCGATATGGCTGAAATATTGCCGATGTGACATTAAATATTAACTCACTCACTCGTAATACAGGCAAAGTTTACCTCCTACAAGAAGTGTCTTCCTGTCCATCAGGAGATCCTCATCCTCAAAAGATGACGCCCACATGTCGTCTGGCATGGTGACACCAAGCCCCTTGGCGAAGTCACTGCATGGATAGAGGGACACGGCGCTGAACTCGTATCCCTTCCTTGACAGAAAACCCGTCAACTGGGCCCAGCTTCCTGGTTCCTCAACGTCAAGAACTGAAATGTGGAATTTGGAATACTTCAACAACTTCTGGATCTTTTACAGTGGATCACTTGTCCCTACTAATATGTGAAAATATATACTTGTTACACTACCATATTGATAGATTATATAAACCTGTTATATTCCCTAAAATATACCGAACCTGAAAACGGCTGTCTAGTCATGCTGTTCTTTGCACTTTCAGCATCTCCAAGATGTCTTAAAAAGCTCTGTGTCCCTGCCTCCCAA